ACAGTGCAGCGACAACGAACAACGATGCGACAGTGCACACCTGCACTTGCAGGTTCGACGGTGTTTATGCTCACCCCTCACGTTTTGCTTCTCACCCTCGCTCCCTGTGTTTTTCTTTGGTTTACTTAACTGCCTGGTTTCAGTTTCAGTCAATTGTTCTCCTTCACTGTGCTTGTCCTATAAACATGTCGTCGCCACCTTCTCTGGAGTGGCGCTGCAAGCGTCCGGCTTCGCAGCTGCCGCTGGGCTTAGATCTTACGCTCAGGCGTATCAAGCCTCTTCCCCAACGCATCAGTCTCGACGCCGAGCGATGCTCTGCGTCGCCTCTCCAGCCAAACTCTCATACTACACTTACCACGAGCAACAAAAGCTGCTCTCTGCGGGGCGAACTCTTTCGCGGGAATTCTGGTACAGTCCAAACATGGCAGGGTTGCAGTCACAAGCCAGGCACGCCGCAAACGTGTCAGGCGTGCGGGCGACAATCATGTCAGGTGACCCGCAGACGCAATAAACTCGCCAGGCTGCCCTCCCTTCAAACATGCTCAACTCGCCGGCCTGTCCTCCATGCTGCGAAAGAGCGACGGCGTTCGTCGTCCAGCACCTGGCACACGGTTGGGGTGTCGGGTACGGGGTCACAGACTTTTGACACAAAACCAGCGCTGTCAGTTCTCTCCTGTCTCTCTTAAGCGAGCCATGCAGTCAGTGCAGTTCAGTCTCTCTTAAGCGAGCCACGGTGAGTCGCTCGCAGTCAGTTCTCTCCCGTCTCTCTAGCAGTCCGTTCTCTCCACTCCAGTCTGTACTAAGCGAGCCGGGCAAACGCAGATATTCGGTAGATTGTGGTTTCGGGTGAAACGATCCAACCCTACCTACAAACGTGCCTCTTGCTCCGGAGCATACTTGTTATGGGTGATACTTTTGAATGAGGCTGTCTTTTGACACAACTAAACCAATCTATCCTCGCAGGTGATGGTCCATAGCGACTCGTCGATGTTCGGACCGATCGAGTCGTCGTGCGGGGTCGAGAAAACTATCTAGCCATTATACGTCCGTTTTACTTTTCGGTATCTAGGTTAGTGATGGCTACTACTCACACTAGGAAGTTCTCGCTCAGAGCCGGAGGGAGTAAGAGAAAGAGAACGAGAGAGAAAAACAAAACGCTCTACGGCTTCACCTTCTGTGAACTCTACGGTTTTTGATTTCTCACCCTTTCCAACGACTACCGTCTACAGATGCGACCTGGTTTCGCACGCTTTTGCTTACGGACTTTCGTAGGATGTGTCCAAGAAATGTTTTCAACCCGTTTGCTGGTGGCTCTGGTTAACGGAATCTGTTCTTTCCGCTAACCTCAGTTGCAACCTTGTGTCTGCCTGTGGTTGTCTTCGACGGCTCACCCGACCTTCGGTGCACTTACTGTGCACCCGGGCGGTCAGCCCCCTTCTTGCGAAGGGTGCTGCCGGGACGCCCGAAGTCCCGGCCCCCGTCGTACACGAGGGTGGGAGAGCGATGCTCCCCCACAGCCTGATAGCAGGGATAGAGGACAAATGCCGCGACGGAAAAAGAGACGGCCACAAACAGAGAGGGGAGAGGGAGAGACAGCGAGAGACAGAAAGAAAGTGAAAGACAAGGACAAAAAAAGAGAGAGAGACACAGAGAGAGATACCAGGACGAAGACAGAGACAGATACAGACAAAAAGGGAAAGGGAGAGAAAGAATCAAGAAGACAAAGCAAGAGCGACAGAGAAGAGAAAGTGCCGTGCCCTACACACACCCTCTGGATGCGGCTTTTTTGGATCTTAAGGTTGGGTTCTCTGTCTCTCTCTTTCTCTTTTTTTGAGCCTTGGTGGGGTCTATACTGACCAAAGTTTGGCCATCTGGTGCGCATCTTAGCACTAGGTTGGGCCAAGTTGGGCCCACGTGGTGTATGTTCAGCACATCTTAAACCCATGTTGAAACTATGTTACACCTATGTTAGCATATGTTGGCATATGTTCTCCTGGGGGCCTATGTTGCCGTACGTTGGCGTACGTTGGCCCCATGTTGCAAACGGGGCACCGGCCCTGCACATATCCCACCCCCAAATAGGCCGGCGCCCGGCTGTCAGGCGTAAGCCTCATAAATCCGGGCGCCGGCCAGGACGCCCGTGGCATGCCCGGAGGGCCTTCGGTGGTAACCGAAGGTTATAGACGGGCGCGCCCCCTGCCGCCGACCCACCGCCGACCCTCGTCACCAAAACGGGGGGACCACCGAGTCACTGATATCAACGTAATTTACAGGGTTTCGTGTGTGTGAGGTATAAAAACACTGTGTTTTACAGGGTTTGGGGGGCCCTCGGCGGCCGAGAATTTCATCTGGGCGATGTCAAAAAACCTAGGTTTTTTCATGGTTTTTGCTTTGCGGGAAGGAAAAAATCGCCAAAAGTTGTATCGGAAGATTTTTTTCAACATAAATCGCCTAACATATCCCCAACATAGGCCCAAGATAGCCAACAGATCCCCAACATATGCCCCACATAGCCTCCAAGATGGCTCAACATAGGGCCAACATAGGCCAACTTGGGGCCAACAGACGCCAACATAGGCCCAACATAGGCCCAAGATAGCCAACACATCCCCAACATATGCCCAACCTGTCTGCCTGTCCTCACCAGGGCTGTGGCTGGCTGGCGTGAGCGACGCACTTGTTGCCAGCTGACAGCTGCCGCCTCCCAGCGTGCATCGCGCTCCATGTGCCTCCTCTCTCTCCGACGGCTCTCCCGACTTTTGGTTGCTGCAAGCAACCAGGGCAGTCAGCCCCCGTCCCTCGGACGGGTGCTGCCGGGGTGCCCCAAACCCCGGCCCCC